GATCTTCCGAACGTGTGCTGGCGCCGACGTACCGCTGGTTCGTGTCGTGTCGACCCTGGCGCTAGTTCCTGACACCGCGGGGATCGCTCAACCTTGAACGACCAGCCATCTCTGGAACGTGAGATCGTTCAACACCGACCGATTCTGGGTCGCCAGTGGCGTTCGACGACGAACGCCAGCGGCGGGGTCGCTGCCGGTCGACACGGCACGAATCTACAGTCGGGGCGTTGACCTAAGGAACCCTAAATAAGGAACGAGGCCCCTTTTTTCCATAAGTTAAACTTCGATTTGCCATTGAATACCTAAAGAAAACCATGTCAAACTGTAAAACAATCAAGGAACACCGAGCCCCTCCCAAACGAAAAGGGTTCCTTTTTCAGGGCCCCGACTGTACCGTGTGCTTGCCCGCCGAAGCCATGGAAGAAGACGCAGGCGGTGCAGCGAGGGCCGGCACGGGCGCCGTGCTGCCGGCGGAGTGGAACGGGATAAGCTCCTTCTTGGGCTTCGGTCGGGCATGCCCCCCTACAGGCGGACTTTAAACGAAAACTCAAAAACCAAGACATGTTCCAAAATACTCAAAAAATCGTCGTCCGCCTATATCTTTTGACTGTGTGTGAATACTCCTTCTGTAGAGGGACACGCCCGCCTTCATACTGGGCCAGCACACACGTTCCGAGCATCGTCGGGCCTCTCGGGCGGAGAGGGGGGGGCCCTCTGGCGAGGAGGGGGAGCCTCCCCGACGCGGCAGAGGGCAGAGGAGCGCAGGGGCCTCCGGGGGGCCTCCTGCCGTGAGCCCAAGAGAAAACTGCATAAACACAAAAGTCTTGGCATCCGCGCAAGGTTCTTGGATCTGCGCTGGGCCCCCCTCCCTGGCGCGGGGCGGCGCCGGAGGCGCCGCCGAGGGGGCCCAGCGCGGATCCAAGAAATCCGCGCGGAGCGCCAAAGTTTATGCTTATGGCGTTTTCTCTTCTTTGAGAACAGGGGGCTCTGATCTTAGTGGGCCCTGGAAACGACAGGGCCATTTTTTGACCAGCTCAGTTTCGCCGTTTTCTTGCCAGTTCCGTCGCGGTTTGTTTGCCGGTTCCGTCGCTGTTTGTTTGTCGGTTCTGGTTCCCGTTCCAATCCAAAAGCCGTTTTTGACGTCTTCGGTCGCCGTTACTTTACCGTTTCCATGTTCAAGAAATAGGTTCGAAAACATTGAAAAAACGGCCCTGCCGTTTGCGAGGCCCACGAAGGTTCTGATTATGTTGTTCCCATCCTCATGAAGGACCACATCCCAGAAGTAAATGCGAGCACCCCAAAAAAATGTATCGAAACAGTGCCTGCCCGACACGCTGGCGAAGTGCCGAGCGAGTATCGCCTCTCTGGGCCCGACACGTGAAAACCGTCCAGTGTCGATACGTGTTCTGAGAGCTCGAAACTCCTTCTGGTGGACAAGGCTAAAGTAAGGCGGAACATCAAAAGGCCTGAGTTGGATGTGAAGGTTGGTTACATCTAGCCTAACCAAATTGTATTGGCTGCACATGCCCAAACAGGCTCAAAAGGGTTAGATCAATCCGGCTAGTGGCCTCCACCCACTCTGCCCACATCTTTATCCCCCGTAAGCCGCTTAGGGCACTTGCAACCCTCGCATAAACTGATTAAAGCACGTGTATAATTCACATTAAATAGCATCCTCTTAAAATAGAAAAACAACAATATGAAAAAGCAAACAACTATCCCTTTAGCAACTCCTGCGGTCATCCAAGTGAAGCTTCCTGCGAGAAGGCGGGTCTAACAGCGCCCCGCTTTGAGCGCGAGCGGCCAGCGCAGCTCTTGTTAACCACTGGAGCTACGGCTGCGACGAGCTGCGGGATGCGGGGGGGCCTGTCCTGGGGAGGCTTAGGCACTCTTGCCCGTGGCGCGAAGCTCCAGCCTCACGGCGACACCGGGCGGCACCGTCAGGGAGGCGGACTCCGTGGCATGGCTGGCGAGCCGAGTGGATGACCGCAATCGAGAAGGGAGGCAGCAACGACCCTCCAAGAGTGTTCACAGGAAATACGCGCTCCGCCGAAAGCCGGGCAATCAATGCTGGCGCCACGACGCGAAGGCCCTCCGGGAGAATTCCCCAGTCCGGGGGGCCAAACCTGGACCCTGAGATCCGACGTTGCCACAAAAATGCCTCCTCGGGAAAAATCACGTCCAAAACCCTACGCCCCATCATTCAGCGGCAACTTTTCGAGCCGCATCGAGCTGTGATGTGGTCGCGGGGCCCGAGGCAGGGCGAGGACGCCCGCTGTGAGACAGTTGTAGCGCCCAGAGCTCGGGGGAGCGCGCAAGCGGCACAGAAGAGCTCGGTGTGCAACGCCCACTGGCCTGGCGGGCTCGGCACTGCTGTGAACCTGAGGCGGCGGCAGGGGACGAGTCTCGCGCCGCTGTCGAGGGCCCTCCAGAGGAGCTGGCGGCCCAGAAGCCTCGGAGGCCAGCCAAAGACGCCCCAAAGACGCCCCAAAGAGAGCCCCAACAGAGGCCCAAGACGGGGTACTCGATCTAGCTACAAGTGTGATTCTTCCAGCCTTCCTAAAATCTAGGAAATCTGGAGGGATGGCACCTCTGGTTACAAACCGAAGTACAAGCCCCCCGATTAAAAAGTCCGGACCGCAGAGGTCGCGGAAACTCAGCGTGGACGGGCCCCGTTAGGCCGCGGGGCCCCTGTACACAGTTCCAGAGACCGCCATCGCGGATTTCCGGTCCATGTCTCATCCCCTTAGAATATGATAATCGCCAAATGGGGCACTGATTGCTTCCCAGACGACCAGAAATTTTCAGGGGCGACCAGACATTTGCGATGTCGCTCCAAGTAACAAATCCAGTCCGATTGATGTTGGCTGGAAGTCGAGTCGTGGCTTGGAAGATCTTATGCAAAGCGTGTCTGCTTCCCTTGGTGCCCACGACTATAAACATAACTTTCTCTGTCAGTGCTCCATGGCCTGCTGTGCCGTGTCAGTGTTCGGCGCGCCGCCCGCTGTCGGAGTCACCTCGGCGGCCATGTCCACCATCGAAAGCCCAGACCCACCGAGGGTCCACGATCCAGGTCCGATCGGAGAGCGACGATACAAACGGCCCTGGGCCGATCCGGACTTGTCAATCCAGCAGGCGGTAGTCGTTACAAAACAAAGGCGCTTGAACTCGTCATGCGCTGTACTTGCGGGCGTCGCAGCTCACATCGCAAGAAGAAGCGCTGGCACCACACCAGTTTGCACCACACCCCATGATAACCTCTGGATGGGCGAGCTGGAAGCAGGATTGTCTGCCCCGGGCGGCCCGTCCGAGAAGGTCAGCGGGACGCGTCTGTCCAGCTGGAGCTCGCCGAAGTGCAACAGGCCGAGCTCCGCACTGCGGTGGGGCACGACGACGACGACGACGACGACGACGACGAGGACGAGGACGAGGACGGCGACGACGGCGGCGGCGGCATCGGCGGCTGCAGCGTTGGCGACGGTGACGGCCGCGACGACGACTGCGACCACGACGTCGACCACGACTACGGCTCGTCGACGTGGTCGGTGGTCGGTGGTCGTGGGCGGTCGTGGCCGTGGTCGGGATCGTCGGGACCCTGGTCGTCGTGGTCGAGAGCACGACGACGACGACGACGACGACGACGACAACGACGACGACGACGACGACGACGACGACGACGACGACGACGACGACGACGACGACGGCGGCGGGCGGCGGCGGCGGCGGCGGCGGCGGCGGCGGCGGCGGCGGCGGCGGCGGCGGCGACGACGACGACCGCGAGGCCCCCGAGGGGAACGGCGGCCTGCCCCGAGCGGCGCTCGGCGGCACCGCGACCTCCGTGCCGGCGGCGACGGCCGCGGGCGGCGCCCGGGGGGCGGGGCCGCCCGCGGCGCCGCCGCCCCGCCGCAGCGCCTCCAGGGCGTCGTGGTCTCGGGGCCGCGCGCGCGCTCTTTCTGGCACCCGCGCCCGGGGAAGGGCCTCCTCCTCCTCCTCCTCCTCCTCCTCCTCCTCTCCTCCTCCTCCTCGTCGTCCTCCTCCTCGTCCTTCCTCTCCTCCTCCTCCTCCTCCTCCTCCTCCTCATCCTCGTCCTCGTCCTCCACCTCCTCGTCCTCCAAGACGACAGCAGGATGAGGATAAATCTGGATGAGGACAAGTCGGGAATCTCTGAGAGGCGACGGGTCTGGAGATTGTATCTCGGCGGCGAGCGAGGGGGGGGAAGTGAGAAGGGGCGGGCCTTCTCAGAAGGGTCAGAAGTCCCCCGCCTTCTCAAAGTTTTCGAAGCCTTCCCCGAAGGCACAGAAAGCCTCTCAGAAGGCGCGAGGGCTTCTGAGAAGCCCCGCCGCCTTCTGAGAGAAGGCCTTCTCCTTCTCACTTCCCCCCCTCGCTCGCCGCCGCCAAGGGGAAAGAGGGGGGCGGGACTCCTCCCATCGCAGCGCCACGCCTCTGGCCCTGCTCCTGGTCCGAGGGCGGCCGGCCTGCGTGGCGGCTCGCGCGGCCAGACACGAGCCGCGCACCTCTTCCCCAAACGGCGCTTGCGCTGCGAGGTTCTCACCTGTTGTAACTGGGGGCCTGGTGGGCAACCCGTGTATTTCTGCTGGTGGTCGCCCAGTGGCCGCCCCGTGGCCGCCCCTTGGCCGCGCGCCCGGGTGGCAGCAACGACATCTGCCAGCCGCGGGCTTCTGCAGAGCTCGGGCGTGCAGCCGGTGCTCCGGGATTCACGGGCTTCCGGCGTGCTCGCGGGCAATCTGACGCGCGCTCGGGTCATTTGCGCCCCGTGCGCTCGAGGGCGGACGCCGCTGCCATCAGCAGAGCAGCGGCTTCCGACGAGTCTGCGCTCGCGGCTCTGCAGCGGCCAGGTGCGCAGGTCGCACAGTACCTCTTGGAGGCGGCGTCCGTGTGGAGGGCCAGCGGTAAAGCCAGCCACGCGCTCCCCAGGCCCACCCCAAAGAATCATCCCCACTCCCCGCCCCTTGGCGCCAAAAGAGAAAGAGAGAGAGAGGGAAAAAAGAGAGAGAGAGAGAAAGAAAGAAAGAACAAACAAAAAAAAGGAGGGAGGGAGAGAGGAGAGAGAGAGAGAGAGAGAAAGCGAGATAGCAAGAACGGCCCCGCTGGGGGGGAGGGGCATAAGACGGGCTCACAGGGTCCGCCAGAAGACGGCTCCGGGCGACAGGCCAGCCCATGAGAAAGGATCCGGGCCTCCGAGGGCCCACGGCGGGGAAGGAAAAAAACAGGACGTTGGGGGGTCTGGGTCTCTCTGCCTCTCCCTCTCACTCTCTCTATGTCTCTCTTTCTCTCTGTCTCTTTCTCTCTCTCTCTCTCTCTCTCTCTCTCGCGTTCACGTTCGTTTTAGACACATCCACGCATGCACGCTTGCCTGCGAGCATACATATACACATGTGTACATACATTCATGCATGCATGCATACATAAAAACATACATACATGCATCCATGCATACATGTATACATACATACATACATCCATCCATCAATACATCCGTCCATACATACATACATATATACAAACATATGTACATGCATGCATACATACATACATTGCATACATACGTACATACATACATGCATTACATTACATCACATTACATTACATTACATTACATTACATTACATTACATTACATTACATTACATTACATTACATTACATGCATGCATACAGGCATACATACATGCATGCATGCATACATACATGCATACATACGTGCATACATGCATACATGCATACATGCATCTATATATATATACACATACATACATGCATGCATACATATGTCCATACATACAGATGTACGTACATACATGCATGCATGCATGCATGCATACATACATACATGTGTATACATGTGTATGCACATACATCTATGTATGTGCAAACATACATACATGCACACGTACATGTGCTACATCACGCGCACACATGCATACATACATGCATGCATACATATGCATACATACGTATATGTATGACATCACATGCGTACATTCGTATATATGCATGCATACATACATACATACATACATACATACATTCATACATACATAGATATATACATACATACATAAATACATACATACATACATACATACATACATACATACATGCATACAACTACATATACATACACATACATGCATATACACATACACATACACATACACATACACATACACATACACATATACATACACATACACATACACATACACATACACATACACATACACATACACATACACATACACATACACATACATGCATACATGCATACATGCGTACATGCATACATACATACAGCTGTACGAACGCAGTCATTGCCATTATTCCTACGAAAACCTGACCGCCCAAACTCTAAACGCGACCGAGGGGGCGGCAAATTCGCAGGCGCCCAGGGAGGGCCCTGAACTGCCCTAAGACAGTCCTAAGACAGCCCCAGAGGAGGACCCAACAAGATCCGAGAACGCCCCGAAGAGACCCCCAAAGCGACCAAGACAGGCCACAGACGGCCCAGGGTGTGACGGTAGAACGGCACGGCAGACCAGCACGGCGAACGAGCTGGGCAAACAAGTAGACGCCCAGACCGTGCGCGCACCGGACGAGCACCCCGCGAAGCAAGAGGCATCTCTCTATTTGATAGACCCTCCCATTTCCCATCCCACTCCCCAATCATAACTTCACTTTCTCTCTCATACAATGCATTCCCCTCCAACTCCACTCCCTCCCTCCCTCCCCCTCCCACTCTTCTACTCCTGTCCCCCGGCCCAAAACAATTCCTGTACATCTCCTCATGAAGAGGAGGAAAAGGATGAAGACAACGAGGACAAGAGGAAGAGAGCAGGAAGGAAGACGGGAACGGGAGGAGGAGTAAAGAAAAAGAGGAGGAGGTTGTGGAGAAGGGGAAAGGAGCGGGAGGGAATCCTTTGGTTTGCGAATGCGCCCATTAGGATCACCCGAAGACGCCCTGAGGACATCGACAGACAAAACGAAACAACAGAATGGAATCGCCAGGGGCACGTTACGAATGTGAACAAAGCCTCTGGGAGACTGGCCCATGCGGGGAACCTGGGAACATGCATAGAAGCTGGGTCCCAACAAAAAGGAAGGATCCGGGGGAACGTTTTCTTCTTCGGCGTTTCGACATTGGGCGGAAAGGGGGGAAGGGGGGGTCTGGCTATGGACCTTTGCTTATCAGACTGTTTTCAACCGTGCGTCCTATGGGGGAGACTCCACCGGCTCGAAACAGGCGCCAAAAACAGCCAAGATCTACTCCATAGGGGAGAGGGGGGAGGGCGGTGCGAGGGCCCGCGCCGATCGGCAAAACATTGAGTAAGAAAACGATCACCTGGAGGAGCCCTGCCTCGGCGACAATCGACACAGAGCCGTGTTGGACACTGCTGTTCGACGTAAGCGGTGCAGACTGTCGTAGCCGTAACAGCCGTCGCCTGGCAGGAGACAGCAGGCGGTCACCGCCCGAGATGTGGCCACGCTTGTGGGACACAACTTCGCCTCAAAGGGAGGCCGTCAACGAGTCCTTCCCTGTCCGCTCCCGACCTTCCAATGTCGAGTACTGGCGCTGCGGGAGGCGCACGGGATTCCCGCAAGAGGTCTTCGCGGGCCTCGGGGGACGCGGAGGGCGGCTCCGTGACGAGCGCGCCAGCTCGCAGAGACCGCCCCGCACGCAGACGCTGCAACCTGCAGAGAGATGTCTGGGGCGGGGGATTTTCAGTACGGCTCCCACACAGCTCGACGATCACGGCGGACACGAAGGAGCCGCGGCGTGCGCAGCACAAAAGCCACTCGCCCCCCCGGGCGGCGCCTGAAGCGGCCCGGCCCCCGGGAGATGGGGGGGAGGGGCAGGACTTCGCAGGGACGTCCCGGGCACTCTGAACTGGCACGTTGCGAACCTACCTCGTACCAGCCACACCCCCGCTTCCACATCTCAACAAAGTCTGCAGCCAGATCAAGTTGCAGCCACCCCACACACCGAGGCTGATGGATTTGGAGAAAGAGAGAGAGAGAGGAAAGGAGGCGAGGGGCGCAGCAAGAGGGAGGACGGGAGGAGGAGAACAAGGAACTCCCTCCCTCCCCTCCACTCCCCTCCCTAATCCTCCCTTCGTTCCTCCCTCCCCCCTCCTCATCCTCCTCCTCTCCCTGTCCCCAACCATCCCTCCTCTCTCCATCCTCCCTCCATCCCGCCTCCTCCTCCTCCTCCTCCTCCTCCTCCTCCTCCTCATCCTCATCCTCATCCTCATCCTCATCCTCATCCTCATCCTCATCCTCATCCCTCCCTTCCTCACTCCCTCACTCCTCGTCCCCCTCGCTGCACCAACATGGTGTCCTAATGTCGCGAAGCCCTCAACGTCAATGTCCCAGCCGAGCTCCTGCAGCAGCCTGTCCGGGATGACCCCGGGGCCGTCACCAGGTTTGCCGGGGGCGCCTCTGGCGAAGGGGAGGAGGGGCATGAAGGGATCTGCGATCGATGTCTCCTCCATGCCCAAGCTGCTGCCTTCCACTGTGGGCGTCACGCAGGCGAGGCGTGGACCGTAGCTCTGTTTCCGAAAGCCGTGCATCTGTGGCCCACCGTGGAGCTTGCGGCGTCATCAAGGCCATGGAGGTCGCCGAAGGGATCGAGAAGGGTGCCCGGACATATAGAATCTATAAGCATTTTACCGACATCAAAAAACGGCGCCCGTGTTTCCTGGGGTTGGCCTCCGAAGGCGCTTCGGGTTTCAAGTCCTTACGAAAACGCCCGAAGCGTAAAAACAGTCCCTTGGATGGGTTCGAAAGGTCCTGGGGGCCATAGCGACGAAAAGCCACGACATCGGCTGTTTGGGGAATAGAGGGAGGGAGGGGGCGGGCAGAGGAGGCGGCCATGAGTGATGACAGAGAACGATATGGGATAGAGACGGTGAGAACGAGAGGAGAGCGCCAGCAAGAGAACGAGAGAGGTATATGAAAACATATACATGTATATATAGAGAGAGCGAGAGACGTACAAAGGAAGATAGAACGAGAGTGAGAGAGAGAAGGACAATGACATAAAGAGAGTGAGAGAGAGCGAGAGAGAGAGAGAGAAGAACGGTATATACAAAGACGTGAGAAAGAAAAAGAGAAAGAACGAGAGAGAAAGAGAAAGAGAAAGCGAACGAGAAGCATTCGGACCTGGACTCGGACCCGGGACCTGCAAGACGCGCCAGCCGGGGGGGGGTGCGGGCGGGCGCCGTGGCGCCAGGACGCGAAGCGAGATCGGCACACGATTGAAATGAGCAGCAAACTATGCACTGGCAACTTGGCCCTCAAGAAATTCCCCATCGGTTTCACGAACAACATCATACCAATCTTGCCGTTCACAGCACGGAACAGATGATACCGATCTGCCGTAGATCGTCAGACCAAGGACTTTTTTGGGTGTCCCGGGTGCCCGCGAGCGTCACAATCGATGTCTGCTTCTGCGCTCCACAACAGTGTCCGTACCGTTCAACTCTTGTCGTCTGATGTCGAAACGTTGTGGGCCCACCTCCATAATCTTTGTCGTCGGATCGATACCCTATCTTCCACACTCAATAATGCAAGGGCACTTCCCGCTTCCTTTGTTGCTCTGCAGATCAATCCGCCCAAGGCTCCAATCCGTCGTCGTCGCATTCCTGTGCCAAGAGATCTGGATTTTCTCCGTCGTCCGTCGTAGTCTCAGAAGTGCTATTGTAATCTCGCCTCCCGTCGCGCTGGTCATCTGCTGCGTAACGCCGACGCGGCACATGCAAAATCATGCGTAGCAATTTGCCTCTGTACCCTGAGCAGCCGGTTCTGTATCGCCGTTGTCATCGCCCACGCTGCACAACCATATCACACTGTGGGCGTAGCAGTTCTGTTGTTGGGTGATTGGTGTTTCCAAATCATCTCCTGACGCTGCGCCAAGAACTTTCGTCAATCTGAAAAGGTTCGGTTCTTCAGCTCAGTCGCGTGGAAGCCACTGAACTGCAACTT